AAAAACCAACAAAAAAAACTCTATTTGCTCAAGGGAAAGTGCTACGAATAGGACACAATGTAAAGATGTTCCCACAGACTGCTAGAAAAGGGTGTGGCACCAGGAATAACAGAAACCATGATTCTCAAATCAGCAGGGGCCTCCTGTGTGTCTTAAACCGGAGACTACACAGGTGCAATCACGTTGCAGCCGTCTGTCACATGAACATTCCCAAAGAATGAATCAGCATAGAGCTTCAAAGTGTAGTTTCTGTGCAGTGTAATTTAATTCTAACCAAATGAAAGATGCTTTCACTCATATGCTAGAATACAGAATGCAATCACAGTTCCATGATTTTTTCCTGGATTTTATCACTACAGATTCCCATTCTCAACAATGAAAATTACATTTGTAGCCCTACTACTAACCCATTTATGGCATATCTTACTTCTATTTAAGAATTCCAATCACCATCTAAGAATGTCCAAATCCAAAGGTCAAACAGATGATTTTTTTTTTCCACCTATGAACCCAAGGAGCAGTCAAGTTTTCTTTTTCTTCCCCCCTCCCTTCCCTCTCTCATCCTAGAGGTCTCCAAACTCAGTGATAAAAATACCAGAAAAGGGGATGGAAGAAAGTGAATGTTTTTACATGATTTGGTTTCTCTCACTGGTTGTGCTGTCTTCCCAGAGGCAGAAATCCTCTTTTTTCTGCTGTTAGAAACGATACCTATTAACCAGCTGAAGTTGTAGCAGCCACAGAGTCCTCTAACTCTACAGGACTGGTGGGTAGTGATTGTAAAAGATGATACTGAAAGCATGTTCAGGCAAATGCAATTTTCGTCATCTGGTAGCTTTACCTGAAAGAAATACCCTGTGCAATAAAGCACGAGAGAGAAATCATTTCCTAAACACAAGTGGAGATGCAGTGCCGCTCTGTAAAAGCCCTTCACTCTTACTGCATTACTGTATCTGCGAGCTCCACCTCTGCCAACATGAAAATCAATGTAACAATTCGATGTACAAGGCAAGGCCTACAGCGCTGCTAATGTCCCCTTGCTGGACATACACCTTAAGTCTCAGAGCTCTCAGGGGGTTTGCTGGGGAATAAAATTAGATTCCAACATCTGCCACCATTAAGGAAAAAATTCCATTTCCATCTCCCATATGAAAACACTATAACCAATGAACAGTAACTGAACCTTGATACTGTAATGGTTATTACCCAAATCAACTATTTTTTTTAAACAGTAAAATTAGCGAATTCTGCTCTCATAATTATTTGAATGTTATCAGACTAAATGTTTGATAAAATTCCAATATGATTCACTTGAAAAAACTGCTGCTTATTTAAATACCCAGAATATAAAGTGTATTCATTTGTAGCTAGTCACATTATGTTTAAAGCACATCATCTTTTTAAAGTTTGCATTAGCCTGCTTTCCTATCCAAGCACAAAAGGTAGCCTACCTTCAGTTTGTACCTGCGTATTTTATTCACACATTTCTATTAGAGTTAAAAACAATCTCATTTCTATTCCTCATCAAAGAGAAGAGATAATGTAATACATGTGAAATGGTGGAATTGACAGAGTTGGTTTCTCTTAATGAAAACACTTTGTGCATTAGTCACTGCATAAAACAACTATGATGTATCTGGTTCCATAACGTTCTGGCACTATAGTAACTTTAAAATAATTACGCTGCCTGTAATGCAGGGTAATGACCTCAAGCTTTACCTTTTAAGATGAAAGGATAATAAACAAAAAAGAAGTCTCTTGTGCAGGGCTGAGCCTCTTCCTTGGCACATTATGACATTAGCCATTTGAGTCTACTACTGTATAATTTAAATGTTTTTCTGTATACATTATAGCTTGTGATCTCCTCCCATGTTAAAAGAATCTTGGGCTCCAACAGGTTAAATAATTTTGCAATATTATCACCCTAGTGACACAGCCTGGACCACAGCCCCCTCTGAGTCCCCTAAGAACCCGTATGCCATGAATTGATGAGTGAAGACAGGAAAGCCACCACCGTTTCCAATATCAATAAGTGCAATGTCCCCAATTCCTCTTTCCTGGAGCAGGGGATAACTTCAGTGCTTATGCTTCCTGGAGCCCTGAGGAAATACTAAAATAGGAGGGTAGAGGCAGAGAATTGGGGGTTGGCTCGCAAGTGACCCTCGGGGATATACAATGAGGAAAACAACACGAGCCCACAGGGTTGCTCTGAGAATTAAATGTAGATTAATATATAACGCACCATGGGGTCTAGCACAGAAAAAGGTGATGGATATTAAGTCAACCTGGAGAATCAGGGCAAGACGCAGATGCAGATGGAGCTGGACGGGCTGAGACAGAAGTGACTCTGGTCCTTCCATGTTTGTACATGCTCCATTTTCAGGGACCTCTGCCTCATTCTGACAAGCTCTGGCACACATCTTAAAGGCGTAAATAACTCTTTCGGAAGTTAGGAATTTTGATCATGATACAAGTCAGTCTGAAGATTATTTATTTATTTGGGTTTGTGTGCTTTTGGTTTTTGGTTTTTTGTTGTTGTTTTTACAAGAATCATGGCAGGAAAACAGAAGTAAACGATCACCTTCCCTTGTCAGATTTCCTTTTTTAGTGATACCTACAGTTTTTGGACTGTCTTATTTTTAAGGAACCATCAATCTTGCTACCTATTTCATAAGGAGGGTAGTGCTAACATCTAAATTGAACTACTAAGAGAAAACTCCACAAATGCCCTGCTAGGGCATTACAGTAAATCAGTGGTTAGGAATAACTACCTGGGGGAATGAAGTGAACAGTTTGCTTGACCCCATGGCCATCAACTGGCCCCTTGGATTCTCTCTCAAGCAGTAAGGAGGAGACTAGCTAACAGTAGTAGGGTTTTTGGAATACACCATCATGACAGAAACATAAAGGGAGCCAACTGTCATTGTTGAAAGACACTCGTGGGGAGCTTTGTCGGACAGGGGTACGAAGAGACGGATATTTAAAACTTCCTAGAATATCGCTCACATAACGTGATCAACCCATTGCTACCAGTCTGAACAGGTTCAAAATCAGTAACTCAGCCCAGGTGGGGAAGATCTGGGATATCATTTAAAAGAAGGAAAGAAAGAAGATAGCAAGGGGGTTGCTAAGGAGCTACGCTACAGTCAGAAATGAAAAGGGGGAGTAGATTAAAAGACAGATGACCGGCAACTACGTGACAGTTATCCAAAAGCTGTAATATTTATTTTTGTCTGTTTACGGCTGGCCCTTATTACAATAATACATGTCTAGTTTTTCTCTGTTTATCTATCTTGGAGATTTGGGGAAAGTGTTTGGCCTGGCAAAAACATAGTCTGTAATTCTTGATAATTTAATTGGACAGGTCAGAAAAGACGCAGGATCAGAAATGCAAGATAATATACATTTAAACATGAGCTCCTCATCGTAATTAGAAGAAATAGCCAAAACACGAATGTGCAGGGCGGGTGGGTGAGGGGTAGGGTGAGAACAGGACGTTTCTCCTTAACGCACAGTCTTGGCATGTAATGAAGACATCTGAAGAAGCACACAGGTTTGAAGCGGCTCTAACATTCTATCATAATTAGAAACATTTCAAGAGCCCTGTAATTTCCAATCAAAATTACAGTAATTTCCGATATACAAGCCATGATTCATGACAGAATTTTACATTCCATGAGAGATTACGGTGGCCTGATGTATGACACGCTGAGTACAGCACTAACACAAACAATTCAGTTTAATGTTTAAACAGCACTGGATGTTTAGAATCTCACAATAAAAGAAACATATTATTGTAGAAATTATCACTTTGACAGTGATTGAAGGGTAGGCAGGCATGTGGCCTATAAAGCTATAATTTTTACAGTCCACAGCTTGAGTTTAATCATTTTTATATACCATTTCCAAGATATCCCTTAAGTATTCAACCAGTCTATAACTTAAACAAGAACAACCTTTTCTAAAGCAAAACTCCTGTCAAGTACCACTATTAATGTTGAGAGAGTGAATTTTAGGGAAAGTTTAAAAAAAGTATTATATTGTAAATACTCTCAGCATTGTATATTTTTATCAGAAGTTGACAGCAGTCCTTTGTAAAGGAGGGTTCATTAATGATAATAAAAATATTATGTGTTTAAAATTTCAAGTCGTGAAAATCTCACCCAAGCCCTTGATGTGTCTAAACTCTCACCTTGATAGTGTTATCAAATCTTTTTGCAAAGGGGAAGAGAGTCTATTATTCCTCCAGTCATTTAAGAAGTAGTGATGGCTTTGAACAAGGTTTACAGATAATTGTCAGCTTGTTCATATGGATAACTCTGCTTTTGATAAACATAAATTATCAGATATGACAATTATACTGATAAATAACTGCATTATCTACCCTTTACGTTTTTATTTTTCTTTGTAGGGATTTGTAACTTTTCCAATTCTTTTCATTTATAATTTATCAGATATGGACAATTTTTCTAACGGTCATTCAATTTGTGTGTCATCTTATAGCTATAGAAAAACTAAACTCATTAATACGCAAAGATATATGTATGTGTGTATATCCGTTTGTTTTAATAAATGCGCCTACTAGCTATAGATGCCAGAGTTGGAACAGAAGAAACTATAATGTTTGTAGTATTTTAGGATGGAAGTCAAGGTCATCTAAGTAATGACGAAACAATAGTAGTTCCAGTTATTTGTTCTACGACAATAGACCAGATTGAGAAACATCCTATACGTTACAATAGTCTTCTTCTGAAAATAACTATACATTGACTCAGGGACTTACTAAGAAATTGTTGGTATGGAGGACTGGCTGTTGAAGGAAACAAAACCAAGGGTCTACTGCCTGCATCTGAACGTTTTGTTTCAACCTAGAGCTCTTTAAACAATCCTGAAGGCTCTGACCTCTCAGGGATGCAAGTTCATAGGGAGACGGACACCCCTCTGAATGACATTTTCACAGGCATCGCAGATAAACATTCTCAACGCCTAATGGAGGCTCTTACCTGGCTTTTGGTTGCTGCAACCTTTGCAAATAGTGCTTGGGACACTTTAGCGCGCTTCATTTCCTGCTGAATCTCATCATAAATGGAAGCATTAATGTTCATGGTATTGTTCTCTGGTTTCCCATTCCTCTCAGTGGCAATGGTAGCTGTTTTCACCTACGAAACATTTTGAACACGACTATCATTTTTCATTGGTCAAAATGTTTTAAAGCTTCTCGGGCTCAGCATCCAAACTGGACATTGCTGCTCCTTTATGATCAAGGTGATCAACAGTGCAGTCATTCAACATTAGTTATTACCCCGAGATCAGATTGCTTAAGTTAAGGAAGTCACATTGTCACAGGTGATTGTGTCTGTAATATGACAGCAACTGCCAGCTGACAACCAGGAATTATAATGCCATAAAGTAAGTTTTCTGGAAAACAGAATAGTTTCAAAGACTTGAAAACCCTAAACTAATTGTTTCCCAATTACCTTCCATTGCAAATCTAACAAAGAAAATTTACAATTAAAATCAAAATGCACAGTGCTGTATCTTCACTGGGTGCCTGGTGCCTAATAGACAATTGCATCACTAATAGTTATTACATACTATGGCCTTTGTAATTTTAGACTTTTTTTTAATGCTTTTCCCTCTTATGTTTCATTTTTAAAATCTTCCATAACAAAGCCATTTGCAGAGCTGCATATTTAAATCTCCTATCCATCCATGAAACAGGTAGAGTGCCTTGCTTAATTATCCTAAAGGCTGGTTGCGTTTTACACGTGCATGTCCAAGCTGTTCTGTATAATTATTTCATCTTTCCTGGCACCCTGTATATAACTATTTCTTTTTGACTTGTGGAACCAGACTATAAGAAAATGTTTCACAATATTTAACAGAACACTGCTGCAAGTTACGTAAAATATATAAGCAGTGACTTTAAAAATATATTCAAAACGTATAATCTTGAGTGAAAAATTAGTATCAATGTCTTTGGTAATAATGATAAGCAGCTATCAGCAAAAAAACGTACAAAATGTTAGGGGGAAAATTAAATCACATCCTCAAAATTTATTAATACTATTATTAATCTTTAAAACTCCAAATTTAATTTTTATTATGCAGTTATATTAACCAGTGTGGTAAATTTACATATGAATTATGCAGCTTCTACTGAGGAATTGATGAAAATGTGAAAGAAAAGTTACCACAGATACAGGACCATGTTTTTCCCAGCAAACTGATTCATTAAAGACCTAATTTCTTAGGGGCATTTAAGAACCCAGGTTTTTTGTTTTCTAGAACCTTACCATCATGGACCATTTCTCTCATATACTAGAAAATGAAACGCATTTTAGCATAAATTAATGATTTGGGGCACTAAATGACATACCCTCCTAATCACAGTGCAAGTCTTCCATGTTTATCTCACCCTGTCCCAAAATATTTGGCATCAAAAGTGGGACAGAGGTTTCCCTAGGCTATTCAATTCTTGCACTTACAGAGTAAATATGAGACCCTTAAAAAGGTGCCTCCAATTGCTTCAAACTTCTAGCCAGTTAGCAAAATAATTCACCTCTGGCTTGTCTTGAAGCGGCAGCCAGACACTTCCCATTTGACACTACCTAAGCATTGAAAGGAAAATGCTGGAAACAGCTGGACCACAGGCCAGAAGTGAGAACACCAACGGTGAGACAGGACAAGTGACCCACTGGCTGGGCCCCACTTGCCTCTTATAAACTATAAACTGGAGACATGAGTGACAAGTGTGTAGGCTAGGTTTCCAGAGTTCCCCTTCTAGTTCTGTGACTCCAGTAAGCAAGGGCGCTCACAGACGTATATGAAGGACTTGAGGCCACTAAGAACCTACACAGGGCTTTGAAGCAATAATCTGCTAAACACCACTTTAGGAGCCAGAAGAGTTAACGCATTACCATAAATTGCCCAGAAAGTTGCTTTGGTGAGATTCGCAACTTTGCTCTGGGGTGGTCTTGCTTTGAGGCAGAAGGATAGATTTGATCACCCCACGGGGTCCCTTTTAATACCTATTTTTCTCACTGCTTAAATGAAAGAGAAAAGAAAAGCCATTTCAATCGCTTTGAAAATTGAATGTTATGGAAATGGGGGCATGAAGTCCAACTATTGGAAGAAACAATTCCTTGGTAGCAATCTGCTTAGCAATAGTTAAGAGAACAGGCTTTGGAAACATGGCGTTTCATGTTTCTGAAATCATTTGCATTCTTTTGTTGAAATGATGTTTAAGAATTTATCTTCCAGGTGGGCTATAACCATTTGTCACAACCCTTGATTTTTGTTTCTAACAATGTCTTTGGTTCAATATTTTTTTTCAAGCAACTACAACTTGAACCAAAAAGCAAGAATTTTAAATTATGAAAACAAAATCAAATAATTGTTTCCTAGTAGCCAACACAATCAAAACAAAAGTGGAAAAGTCCTACACATGAAACATTTAAAAAATTTTTTAAAAGTGAGACCAACAACTTTTAAAAACATAAAGTAAGAAACTGTATTACTCATTTAAAAAAGGTTTAGAAAAGCTCTCTTTTTTCATCTTGTTGGCTCAGATATGCATCTTATCATAGATAAGCTATTAGAATTCTGGAATCGCATTTTTTCCTAAACACAAGCTATTGCTTAAGGGGAACTGACTTGGACAGCTTTTCAAAAATATGAAAGCTGAATTTTTCCCCAGGTAAAATTGGAAACAAAAATCTTTTATACCTCACTCTACTAAGTACTATTTTAGCTTAGTACAAAAAAAATCTTCTTTAATCCTGGTTTAGCTTTTAATATTATATCACACATTAAAATTCATAAAGTAGTTCATTCCAGGCAAAACAAACTACTCTTCAGCTCTTCTCCGCAAATAGCACAGGAGGTAAAATAAATGCAGTTGCTTTCTGAACAGCTTTTATCAAGGTAGGGTGTGCTACTCCATCATTACACTGGCGCCGAGGAAGTAGTTAAGAATTGGAGCTTCTACTATTAACCTTCCCACATGGGGACAGGGTGCAGCACTGGGGCCTGCATTTTACTTCACTAAAATTGTGAAATAGAGCACACATTTTCCAAGCAGAGTCGATTTTGTTTCTCCATGTATGGCGGTACCCATCATATAACAAAAGGAACATACTACACATGCATACTGTGCTAAATGAACTCTACCAGGATCCTGATTGGTGATTACGCTATTCCCTGAGGCAGGAGCATTTACCTGCAAGCACATAGCACACACGTGTGTGCGTGCAAAGTTTGATGCAGTGTTAAGAAGAATTGTGATAATAAACACGGACATTTATTAGTTGCTTATTATGTGCTGGGCATCATGTTAACACACATTAACTCTAACCTGCACAGTAACCCTGAGTAGGCACTATTATTGCCCTGTTTAAAAACTGAGAAAGTGCTCTTAAAACAAAGAGGTTAAGTAATTTGTCCATGGGCAAGGCTAAGAACTAAACTTACAACTGTCTGATGCTAATGCTTACCTTAGAAACCACTGCAGCTATACTGAGGTCATGATGCTATAGGGAACTTCTTTATTTGGAAAAAGTCTTCTAAGACATGTTGGACCTGCTTTTTGCTGGCCCTTCACTAAATTTAGCTCTTTAATCTCTAAGGTTTAGCAGTGAATGGCTTTATCATTAATTTTACAAATCCAATCTGAATTTATTTTTCAAGGTATGTAAACTATAAACATTTTCTTACAAGTGTTATGTAAGAAAAGTTATTTTAAGGCACTCTTATTGGTGATGTCTACATAGTCCACATTCTCAAATGTTTATATATTAACTCTGTCTTGAGTATCATAGTTCTATCTTTTTACTATTTTCTTCCTTTTGTAGAAACAATATTATTTTCCAAATCTGGCCTTCTAAAAATGCTCTAGCTTTGAAAAGATGACTATGAATGGGAAGCATTTTACAATCACATAACTAAGATCTTAAAATAATGCTGAACTCATAACAAATAAACTTTTAATCACGTATTAAGTTCCTGCCCATAACTAGACCTGTTTCATTATATTGTAGAATTTGGCATTAAGAGACAGAAGGGTGCAGCTACCAGATTACATTAATTATATACTGTTTATATGAACTTTGTGTATTTTCTAAAGCATTATTATAAAATATCACATCTTTCTTTAGAAGAAATTAAAGTATGACATGAGGAGATTTAAAAAATAATAGAGAAAAAAAGAATGTTAACTAATGTAAAAGTTATAACTTGATAATTATAGGCTTTCAAACAGCCCTTTTGAGAAGAGAAATTGCTAATTTAACTCTAAACGTCACACATATTAAAACACAAATAAAACCAGGATAAGCACACACCTACACAGGAGTCATCAATTTAAAACTGACCTGTTCTGTGGAAGAGACAATTCCCAGAAAAACAATCATTAATTATTATTAATAAAATTCCTCTGATAGGCTCATCTGGAAAATCTGGTAAGCACAGTCAGAAAACAAACTTTTAAAACCAGGGAGCTTTGGAGGGATCGGGTTCTCCCAGGTATTTTCATACAACCAGTTTGGAAGGGGCCACTTTCTACACAGTCCCATTGATCGTATATCAAACATACCAGAATGTTCTCATATGCTTTTCTCTTCCTAATCCAACAATAAAACTTCCCATCCTCTGTGAGAAACAGAAGAGGCCCCCAAGTTTCATTTCCCTTTTCTAAACTGTTTGTGTGTATTTTCAGGAGATTGGCTTGAGGTATAGAGGAAGGAGCAACAGACTTAACCAGGGATGAGAAAACTTTGACTAAACCTTAGACTTGGTTTTCTCATTTTTCACTCTACAAAAAGGTTGGTCTGAGGAGCCAATGAATTAATGTACATGAAGGTGCTGAGAAAACTGTGAACTATTATCAAGTGCAAGGTATTCTTATTTCTTGAATGAGAGCATGTAAAGTTGTAAAAATATGCTGTCAGTAAATGGTTCTGGCCCAGAGCCTACTGCCCCAGTAAGCAGCAGCTTACAACATGGCTGCTCCTATGAAACACAAGGGACAGGTCTGCATAGGAGCACCTCACCTGGTCAGGGCCAGCCAAGAGCTTTGCTGATTGATGCCTGAAGCTAGTCTGGGTTTTTTCAGGGACGGCATTCCTAAGAATAAAACCCAAGGCCTGACTCAAACCAGGAAGTCCCTTCTTGCAGATGATGCAGAACCGGAGTCCTTCAATAGTTTAGGCTTTTGGTCTGGTATGAACCAGGGACATCCAAATCATCTTTGCTATGACCTAAACTCTACCGAAGGAGCTGGAAAAGAATCCAGTCTCTTAGGCCTAAAGATGAGCGGGGTCTTCTGTGAGGCAGGAGGGACTTCTGCCTGCAACATGCAATTCTCCAGAAAGAAATCAGGGTTTAGGTCTAACCCAAGCCCAAGACTTATCTCTTCATTTGGTGGTGGGGAGGATGAAATGCACAGTGATTTCACATAGACTCCTCTCTGGCAAAATGTAAAATGAAAAAGGACAAAATTTTGCAGTCTGTTTCTATAACCGTAGTTATCAATCATCCTTTTTTCCCCCTTCTATTTTCGTCATTTGTAATAGGCATATTAAAACCTTACATGTGGTGTATGGGTTTCAGTTTAAGCAACAGATTTCAACTGCTCTATAACACATTTTTCCAAATCTAAAGGACTCGTTTGACATTGATATGCTTTTAATACATTAACAATTTTCTTGGGCTGGCCGAGTGGCGCATTGGTTAAGAGCTGGCTTGGGACGCCAGAGGGCCCCAGTTCATATCCTACATATGAGGGCCAGTGACACTGCCCTCTACAGCTAAGATGCTGAACAACAGCTCGACCTGGAGCTGGGCTGCCATGAGTCGCCGGAGATAGCGTAGGCTGCAGCGGGCTGCCATAGGCTACCATGTATAGCCAGCAGCCAGCGTGAGTGGCCAGCAGCCGCCGTGAGCGGCCGTCCAGAAGCCGGCGACTGATCTGCTTCGCCCGGGAAGAGCGCAATGATGGTGCTAACTTGAGCCAGTGAAGCAATGTCCTCCACAACTAGACTGAAGAACAAAAGGACAGCAACTTGTCTGTTCCCCTTCCTCCAATTCACCAGCGCTGTTCCCATCCTCCAATTCCCCAATTAAAAAAAAAAAATTCTTAAAATTTAATTCATTGAATCATTGTTAAAAGATAAAAGGTCAACGAACTGATTGTGAGCTCTATTATAATAATATTAAATAATGCAAAGGGATTTTTGGTGAGGCAAATAATATACCATAAAGATTTATATTACTGCAGTGAAATAAAATTATACACATATATCATATAATCACTTCAGAATTTGGTTAGCCAATAATATTGCATTAATTGAAACAATTTTTTCTTGAAAGAGATTCACTAAGAATCTACAGTAGCTACGTAAGTTCCTAAGTCCACCATTGGCTGAATATCCTAGTTCAGGACTTCTTGAGAACAAACACAGCTAAGGATGATGGCTCAATCAGTTAATCAATAATTCAAGCCAAAATAAATTATATTTTCTATCCCAACTTATCAGCAGTTATCGTCTTTAGACATATACCTATATACATATATATGACAGCTACTCAAAAGGATCTTAATAGTAAATGAAAAGAAATATCACTTAATGTAACTTCAGCTAAAAGAAAACAAAAAACTTGATGAATAAGAATAGCAGAATCACATCCGGAAAACAAAAACATTAAAATCCTAGAAAAATTAGAAACAAAAGCTGAATTCAGAATCGCTAAGTCAGACATTTGGATAATTAAAAGAAAAAAAAAAAAGCTGCTCAATGCTAAAGTTCATACTGGTCTTAAGCCATCTTTTTGTTAGTCTTGCAGATCAAGTGAGATGTAAGATAACTCTCTGACCAGAGGCCTTTCAGTGATGAGGACAGGAGCAAAGTTAAGCAGTGATGGCTTGAATATTAACTCTAAACACCAAACTAAGTATTAAACCAAGTCCAAAGTACCGTATGTTTTGTTTAGTCACTCTTGCAAAAATTACATATCTATATAAAGAGTTCTTCATCTTTTTTCTTAAGAAATGTTTTATAGAAAGCTTTATAGACCACATTCAATAATTGTGTGTGTGTGTGTGTGTGTGTGCGTGTGTGTGTAGGGGCAGGTGGATATATATGTATGTGTACATCTATGCCTTTCTTCTCTGCTAGAGAAACATGTCTTTTTTATTCACAATGACTTCTTTCAGTCTGCTCCTATTGAAATCAAGACCTAATTTACTTTCAGTCAATAAAATAGAGAAAATGGGCTTTGTGACATTCCTAAGAAATAATCATTTCAGAATATTATAATATGCAGGTTAAGATCCTCAACAGTGGCTAAATATTATGTCAATTTCTTTTTATCAACTATCTGTAGCAATTTCATTTTTAGTGTTGAGTGAGCTTTTCCCATTATTTCTCTACTTGGAAATGTATTATTTTTTACTATCGATGAAAAGAAATTAATATCAAGATATAATTTCATTATCACATTATGTTACAAAATAGTGTAAGTTTATATTCCATATTCAATTTTTATTTAGTCTTAGCTGACATTATTTTTAAGTGTTGCACATACCGTAAATTAAATGTGTAAGAAATATATTTGCTTGTGGGTTATAAGTCTAATCCAGTAACTATCAACCTTTTGCCAAATAGTTTGTATTGAAAATTAACTTCTTAAATTCTCATAATAGTTATGAGGCTACCTTTCACACTTGATTAAAAAATAATAACAACAATACAGATGCATATACACACAGTGACAGGGAAGGTGACTGGTCCTTCCTAAAAAGTGTAAAAATGTGGAAAACAGAAAATGTGCCCATTTCTGGGAATATGGATAGAATTCCTTATCAGCCTCATTTAAAGCTGCCTTCAAGGATTGTATTAAACTTAATTATGAAAGATTACAAACGAGATGATGTGTAATTGGTACCAGCTGCAGTTCGTATTGGAAAGCATCAATACAACTAGAATTATTTATTTATTTTTATTTATTTACTATCCAAATGGCAGTTCTAGAACTCATAGGGATAAAATTGACTTTATTACTTTTTTCCCATTGAATTAAAAATTCTTCTTTACTTAACAGGAGAGACAAATATCCTATTTAAAGAATACTTTTCACCCACAAAGAACCCCAAAGATGAAGCAACACAAAGCCATTTTCTTTCCCCTAATTAGTAGCTTATTTTTTTTTATATCATAATTAGTGATTGGAGACCGAATTCTCCTCAAGCAACTCCCTGCATTTTATTTTTTTAAATCTCTATCCATCTCTGTTTCTAATTTCTTGTCAAGATTCTTCATTAGATATTTTTCTAAAAAGCAAAAGAAGGGCGAGGTGGAAAAGCAGACTTCACCTGGGGAGGGCGGCTGGGTGGTGTGCTTATCAGGGGGGCAGGGCCCATAGCCGAGGCAGCATTCAAGCTCCTTTCTCTTTCATCCTGGTAAATGCGATCTCTCTCAGCCTCCGGTAACTGCAAGAAATTCTGCATAGCCCGAAGGTTTACCAGCAAAGACTGGGAGGCAGTCTTGGGGTCCTCTTCCTTTCGGAGAATTTCTGAAAGCAAGCCCTGCAGGGAATGAAAGGCACTGGATGAGTGAGCTTGCTCCTGTTCTCAGCCCAGCCAGCAGTGATCCTTCCCTTTTCTTCTCCACTCTGTTTAGAAAATGAACAGTCAGAAGCATTAATTCTACATACGAATATATTAGTTACAATTGAAGTGGTAGAGAAGAGAGCCTCAATTGTATTCTTAATTTTATTAAGCATCTGCTTTACATATAACATAAACTGAAACTGCCTAATTGGTCTCCTTCCTTTGAGTAGCTTAACATGCCATGAAATCTTTCACAGAGAGACGATGGAGGGAAGTTAAGGATAAATGAAATGCTCATAATACAACAGTATTGAACTGTATAGTTCTCAAGCTGCCTAGACAAAGGCAGTGGAATGCCAACAGCCCAATATGTAAAGATACAAAGCCAATTCTAGAAAACAGAACTTTCAAAGAAAATACTACTAGAAAATGAACTGCAACATATTAGAAAAACGAATTTAAGGAACGCATCATCTTAGACTTTTGCTGTTTTCACCGACAATATTTTAAGTTATTCTGTGATTTTTCAAGTTATTAAAATCAATGACAACTGATTCTTTCTATTTATCATTTAAAGAAACTATTCACTGACTCCTCCAGGTAACAGGTTGAAATTTTGAACTTCAGAAACCATAGATTAAATTTGAAATACATAACCCCTTTCCCACATTACACAAATCCATCAAAGCATGCCAAGGAAAAGAATATTATCAAATTCTGTAATTATCAAATTTCTTGAGGCATAAAAATATTTATTAGTGACAGAAAAAATTTACAAACCATTAGTAAACTCCTTTAAGGTATCTTTCTCCCCAAATAATATGGCACTTTTTTTTTTTTAATTTTTGGAAGAATGCTTTAAAAAAATGGGTGGTTTTCCCCAATTTTGTTTAAGGGGTTATATGAAATAGAAGGATTAGAAATTTTTTCTGTCCCTTTGATAGGCGCTGGCAGCCCTTACCTCTTCAATCTTATACATGAAATAATGCCGGGAATACCAAGGCTCGTTTGCTTTCTACATTTGCGAGAATATCTGTTTATCACAATATAGCTAAGAATAAAATGTTGTCAAGATTACTATACAGTTTGCAATTTTCACTTTCCAATAACCCTGCAGAAAGGGTGAAAGGGTATATTTGAGAAAGGGAAGGTGAAGTGTCATGTCAAAATAATCAAGCCCCAAGGTTATGACAATTGGGTTTTTTCATGGTTTCCTAAAAGTGCAAACCTAGATTTGTCCCCAATTCCTCAAGGTATAATGTACCATATTGCCCAAATGTAACAGTTGGGTGCAGACAGTATAAACACACTACCCATTTTAAAAATGATTTATTGACTATTAAAACAGAGCTTCCAATAGGCTCAGGGGGCCTAAGAGTAAATTTTAATGTCTCACTTGGTGTATGCAACTGAAGTCTAGAAAACAGACCCAAACTTTCAGTTTCACCATGAGAAATGTGCCTAAAGAATGAAGTACAGTAATACCTTGGTTTGCGAGCATAAATCATTCTGGAAACAAACTACTCGTATTGCAAGACATTGCTCGTGTACCACGTTAAAATGTATTGGAAATGTTTGCTTGTCTTGCAGAACACTCGCAAACCACGTTACTCACAATCTAAGGTTTTACTGTATATGTATCCTTTTATTTTTAATACTGATAACTAATGGTGCAATTGTGTTTAAACAAGACAAGACAAAATATCCACTCAATTTAACTGAAATTCAGTCAAACAGGCAGTCACCCAACATTTAATTTGCAGAAGGCCAACTAATTAGATTGACTGTGTTTTTGATGTGTCACATTGAAACTAAAAAATACAGGTCTCAAAAAAATGTTTGAAAATAGGTGTAAAATAATAATCCTTGCTCTCCACTCTTCGCTACCAAATGTTACATAGTAAAAAGTGTGCTTGCAAAGTAATATATATTAACTATAGAGAAGTAGATAGATAGAAACATACAGTATACATATAGAATGTTACAAATTCCTTGAGTATAATCTGATACTCATTTTTGTCATCTTAGTACAATGCCTACTATGTAAGTGTTCAATAAATATTTACTAAGTGGATTAATTATGTCTATTCAGATCATAAAAGGAAAAAATTGCAAATGGATGATAGAAATGTAAAAACAAGATATGCTACCTATGGGTAAATTCTAATGGTAATTATTTATTTATTTAAGGTAAGCCTTCAATGAAAAGTTATGCATCATTCTGTAAGATGTTTATCTATGTTAAGTGTTCAATAATTTAAAAAATAGCTTAGGTCAAAAGAGAGCCTATAAACATTTAGGGATGTTATCATATTTGGGAAATTTGAAATTAGACATTTACAAATTTCAAATAACAAAATAATAACATATCATCTCTTTCTACTAAAAATATTTCCTGAGACAGCAGAGAGCTATAGTGAGAAAAACAAACACATGAAAATATATATAATAATATTCTCTATCAAGTCTTGCTAACGTAAGACCAAGTCATTCCTATATGGCATAAAGTAGAAGATAGTAGGTCATTTGGGAGAGAATTTAGAAATTTCTTTACCCATATTTGGAATGTTGGCATGACTTCCCATTTGAGCATATAAAGTGGTTTAGGGGCAAACATTTTATTTCCACTTAATTATTCAACTGGAGCAAGTGCAGTTTTTCTGCTTGTAATATGTTGAAGGTCTAAAGTGATATCTCAAACCCTGGAACATTTCAAAGAGCTCTAAGACAGCCAGTGTAGACATCTCAGGTGTTTTAGAAATCTTCTGGGGTTTTTAAAATTTTATTTTATTTTTTGGCCCAAGCTTTCAATGAGGGGAGTGCCCCCTGGTGGAAATGCTTGAAAATATTGTTAGAAAATGTTTTGATTAGAATGTGTTAATTACCAAAAAAAAAAAAAAAATCATGTCACTTGAGAAAAATTCTGGATGCAAAATGACTGCTATTAGAATCTGGATACGGGGACAAATGTTTTGGTCCTGTTGAGGTTACTGTTACCTGAACAGTTGCATTTATGGAGTCAAGATGTATGTGGCCCCTGTTTCCTATTTTCCATAGTTGAAAATACAGTTCAGACTTGCCAAGTTAGGTCAAGGTCATCTGTAGTAATCCCTCGTGGAGGTAAGTAGGAGGGATCTCTTACCAAAAATTATTCTTCACGCTAAAAAATAATATGTCAGGATCATCATATACCTACTTGCTATTTCAGAGAATATGCTAAAACACCAGGACTAAAATATATCATCAATATTGTGCACCATAGGTGTTCAATAAATTTGTTCAATGAAATTAAACAAAATCATTAGCCACTCTTGTTTCTGAGAAGAACTTGCAAATTTGTATGTTCTGCAGTAAGTTACCAGCTCCTCATGAATATTTTTATTGGGAATGAGAAGCTGCTTTTCATTGGGACTTCATATCTTCAAATAATTTGATATGTGCTCTATATGTGGAAATAAAAAAAATGATTCTGCATTGTCATCACATGGTGGTTGAGAATTCTAATTTTTCCCATCAAAAAGTGAAGTTACTGATGAATTCCTAAACCTTTTTTTATGTTCCAAACAGAGTTTACAAGTTACTACAAGTAAAATTCATTAGTAATTGTAAAAGAAAGAAAAAAAACTTCCAATAAATATTATCAGTACTTCCAAATGCTAATTATGAATTCTTTAAAACAGCAGATAAGCGAAAGAGACTGCCAATCTGCACAAAAAGCCTGTCTGGCCTCCCGTTTGTCTCCTCTTTGAACATAATCACTGATTCAAATAGATTTTATCAGTTTCATGGAACTTCAAAGCCCTCAAAAGGAAAATATGATTTGATAAAACCTCCCTTCTAAAAAGAAAATATGTAGAATATTCTTCAAGGCTACCTGCCTCTGCCGTTTGGTGAATTTTTAATCACATGTCCAGGTGAAAGACTATTTTCAAACTCCACCTACTAGGCTGGACTCGTGCCAAATATGTTCTAAGCAGACACATTTATCTCTGTCATTTGGGAGGCTAAACGAGAGCTGTCACATTGGGGTAATAGCACCTTTTTACCTTTTATTCAATACTGATATGGATAGTGGACTTTTCTTAAATTACACTGTGAAGGATTATAGAAACACAGTAGCAATTTCTGTTATACTTAAGCAGGCAAATTTCTCTCCACCACATAATTTACAGAACTCAAATTCAATAAAACATTACATGATGGTCCATTACTGTTATCAGTTTTGAATAATCCATCTTCATTCTTCATTTTACTGGAAAATAAAGTGTGCCAAAGACAAGAGGAGGGGGGAGGAGGAAAAAAGGCACAGAATGGGATTAGAGTTAAACTCTGGGTTTTACTTTTTTAAAGGCACTAAAGAACATATTTTCTTCTATCACAACCTTTAATAGCAATAATACAGAGAAGTGAATTGGAAAGTATAAAAAAGTATCAATCTGGAAGCTTCGGCAATTATTTTTAGCCATAGGTTTCCATTAAAAAGATATCAAAGAGGCATAACTGAATGAATGACATATGCTAAAAGCTGGTGTCTTCAGTAGCAATTAAAGAACATATGCCCATCAATTCAAAAGGGGAAAAAGTCCTTAAAACAAGTAATAATATAAATTTCACCATAAATTTTCAGAAAAGGTAGACTTTTTTCTTTAATAGTCATGTGTGAAAGTCTTAAGAGAAGGGTTATGATTTAATTTAGGACACCCAATTAAGACAATGAGAAAATTCTCCAATTAAGAATTAAAACATGAAATCCAGGATTTTAAAGTTAGAGCTGTCAATGACCAGATTTTCTTGTCATAGTAGCATTATGTATTCTATTTATGTTTTACCACACTGTTTAAAGGGCACCAATGTCTTCACCTGATCATATATAACTGCATTGGTATGTACGTATTTTACATTAATTTTTTAAACTTGGAATTAGCATTGCACATCGTAAGAAGTGCACACAATGTGTGATGTGCGATTTAACTCTGCAGAGCTCCTTGTCTATACATATGCATTAGCATGTGTATTTTCGTACTCCACACTCACACCATACACGCTCACTCTGCACCTGCTTTTACTGAAATGCATACACTTCGAAATAAACACACTACATGCATTCATATGAATGTATAATCATTAAAATAAATGCAGCTGTGCGTGTGTGCACGCGCATGCATGTGTGTGGTTTTTAGCATGACCACCTAAAATACATGCACACTTGAGTGTTCAAAAGCTAGTTCCCCAAAAGTGAGGAATTTAATGTACATGGAAAATTACTTAGTTAAATCAAATAGCTTCAAATGCGGCCCAACAGCCACTCTGACTGAGGAATACCGATTAAAGGTTTAAAACCAAACTCCTCTATCACCCAGGGCTCCAAACAATATTTTGGTAATGACTTTTTCTAAATTGGCTATTATTAATAAACAGAGATGGGTATCAAGCCATACCAGGTTTTCATTCTTCTCTCATCCTCTGAAAAATAACATAACTGTTTTTGATGTTAACCACAGAGATGACTGTTTTTTCAAAGAGATTAATATGGCATAAAAAGAGAGAGAATTCGGCCTTTTTATCTAGTAACAAATCCTACATATATTTATGGAATTTGTCAATGTGAGAAAGGCGGAACAAATAGTCAGTTCTTTAGAGTAATGGCTGTGACATCATAACCCCAGAGAAGGAAAACAGTACCAACGGGTGGTGACTTCACCCTAGTCTCCCTCAGCTGGACTCTTGTCATTCCTCAACCTACAAAACACACTTCCCTCGATGCTTTAAGAAATAATTTGCTCAATTTTTAAAATGCTTATTATCAGTAAATCTATATGTCATTTGTGTCTATATCAATGTTGTCTTTGTCTGTGGGCTTTTAATGCAATTCAACAAGCATTTTATTGAACTTTTATGTACAGACCTGTCTATTTTTTTGCCCAGTACTGAGAACTACTAGCAGTTGCTGCTCTTTACAAAAATAAAGAAAGTTGCCAGAAACAGGAGTATCTAGAAGGCTTTCATTCATTCATTCATTCACTTAATTTTTAAAAAATAATTACCCTCCAGCTGAATTTGGTACCATATTAAATTTACCAGCTAATAATGAACACCTTTTTTTTTTTAAGTTGTGAAAATACAGAACTAGCTAAAACTCATACAATTTTAACCTGACATAACGTTCTGCAACCACTTTTTTAAAAATAGGCAAATTATGTACAAAAAACAGATAAAGAAACTGAAAATAAACACTGAGTTAAAGGCTTTGTCAGGCCTCCTAAATTTCAATCCAGTTAAGGCAAGCCAAAAATAAGTCACAGCTGGGATTCTCTTAGGTATGGAAACTCTGCCAACAAGGAATTAATACTAGATTATTTTCGTACCAGAATTTTATTCTTATAATCATGCAATAAGCAAAATAACTTACATGTGAGAGGAAAGTGTGAGTCAGGCCCCCCAAAAAAACTGACAAAAGAAAGAACAGTGGTATAACAAGTAAGTTGAAAGTACATAATGTCCTCATTTTAATCAAAGTTACACGTTCTGTGTGTGTGTGTGTGTGTGTGTGTGTGTGTGCGCGCGTGCGTGCGCGCGTGCCTGGGCCAAAAGTAAACACCATATATACCATAGTAGTTTCCAAAAAAAGAAATTAGAAATCCTCTCATTCACAGTTGAATAGAAGTTGTTCAGGACTTTTCAAATATCTTTCTCTCAGGGCTCTCATCTCTTCTGTCATTATTCCCCTTGTCTCTCTGACCCTCTTCATTGAGGATAATATCTTCACAGGAATTTGCCCTGGAGGACAAAGGTGTGGCCCCAAGGGGTACAGGCAGCTCTCTGTGAGGAGTCTGCAGACTAAGGTTTGCAGATCAAACTTACCCCAGGGCCTCTTCAGGAGGTTGGGAAGAACACTAACAATAATGAAAGAGGGAAGGGGACAAAGCTAAGACACATTTTAGGCTAGTTAAGTTATATATTTTTTCTAAATGGCTACTCGGAATTAAATGGCAGAAATTGCTATGGAGTCCCAAGATGTTTTTTTGTTTGTTTTTTGTTTGTTTGTTTTTAAGTTGTAGAGGAATTATATGTTCATGCTTGATATGGTAGGAACACAGGAAAGATAGTAGTCTTCAAGCCTGACATCCTACCAGCAACTTTTCTCAACCTGCTCTAAGTCTATGATTCCATTATGCAAAAGCATAGGTAATGCCAGTTCGAAACATTTTTGATATTTAATTCATCTTTCAAAGCCCCTAAATTAGGATCTCTTTGTACACACAGCTTTCTCTTGGTAAGGAGGGTTATGACAGAGAAAGTAAGGATAAAATTTGGGTACCACCAGGAACAGACACTATGATCACATTAAGAGAAAGGACATTACTACCAAGTAAAAGAATACACATTAGTATAGATGGGACTAAAGAAATAGACTAAAGAACCACTGACAAATAAAAAAAAACTGACCTGAGTTCTGTTAAAAGCCACCCGTGCAAAGACTGCCTGGGAGATTCCTGCTCGTTTCAGTTCATCGCGTACCCACTGGTAGATTTCGGAAGACACCTCTGTGTTGGTTGAAACCTGTTGCTCCAAAGGCTTATTCATAGATCTACTGACAGGGGGAGGGTGGTTCAAGTATTGTTGGTTTAAGGACTGCTGGGCTAAAAGTCTATTCACTGCATACTGCTGGTTCAGCAGCTGAGCCATCACCAGCTGCTGGTTGACCAATTGAGGACTGATGGGCGTTGACACAAGCCCAGGGTGCAGGTTTGGAAGAGGGGTCCGGACCGAGGGCTGGCTGCCGTGGGAGAGCTGCGCAGGGGACGGAGGCTGCTCGGCTGTGTTCCCTGGGACAGGCTGCTGGCCAAAGTTGACATGGTTGGCACCTTGCTGGGATAGTTCAGAAAGACTATCCATTTCAACTACAATGCACAAAAAGTAAACTCACGTTAAGGCAACGATGATGGGTGTTGCGAGGATTTCTGATCATTTTTTAAATAGAAACAGAAGGCATAGGACACATCAAAGATCCAATTAAATGAAGAAAATTTCAAGATGGAACTCAACCCACTGTGTTTTTACTTTCCCTGTCTGTACAATTCCACAACAATTAAATGTGGGACAGTACTTCTGATCTAATTTTATTTAGATTTAAGGCATGAAATCTATTATTTTCAAATTCTATATACTAGTTTTGGGGTCAAACTATTATTCATTCTCATTACCCCAAGAAGGCTTATCAGCATTGTTTACTTAAAGATAGCTTCTAGAAGAATGCCATTTACTTACTGGCAACTAGGAAAAAAAAAAAAAAAGCTGAGCTAAGAAAAGACATCATATGCAACTAAAGAAAAAAAATATATACAAATATTTTCTCATGCTATATATTAACTGTTATTACCCTAGGCAAAAGGTTTGAAAGAAAAACAGATGATAAAAAATGTTATGTACGTTCAATTTTACCCAGACATGAATATAAAAAAAGTAATCAATATAATAAATAATGAAAGTGGTCATAATGATAAGTAATAATAACTGAGTGCATATTGAGCAGTGGGCTTTAGTTTCTTATAGGGCTTGCTTCATTTCATTCTAACCATCATGGGCAGCAGGTACATCTGCAAATATTTCTTAGAATGAAGCACATGATTTATTGTATTGCAAGCCAGTCTACTCCGTGTTGCTAAGACCCCAATGTTTCTTGAAGAAGCTAAGGCTATCACCAGATGATAAAGACAGTCTTTCAAGGCAGGGGCGTGGAGTTGCTCTGGTACAATGGTGATACTGTCACGATTGTGCAATTTATTACCACCTACCCAAGATGAATGCTTCTCCCTTGGCCAGATTCCACATGTGCACTGGCTGAGAGTCAGCCCTAAGTGTGTCAAATGCTTGCTGCTACAAGGAGGAGACTGGTTTCATGCTCTTGACTGGAAAAGCTGAGCATGATGCTGTAAGGAAACAGGTAAGCCTTTCCAAATAGCACGCCATACTTCCTAAGGATAGACTGGATTTTAATCATCATTGCTCACTTCACTAAATATTCAGGTTTTATATTTAGAGGAACTTATCATAATGCTATGATCACTGATGTATGCAAAATATAACTAAGAATTGGGGAAGAAACCTTCCATTTCTACCAGTGATATCAGCCCAAGTGGGCCATTCACAGGAAATAGTAATTCAAGCAATTATTCCAAAAATGATGTATTGTCTTCATTATAGCTCTAAGCTATAAACGGCAAAGAATCTGTTTTGGTAGATGGATGGTTTTGCTTCAAATATTAAAAGCTAAAACATGCTCAAAATTTAGGTTCTCTTGTCGCTTAAAATCTTTAGGAGGAGTTATTGTTGTTGTTATTAAATGAAGGTTAATAGAAGTAAATAGAAATCGATTTAAAACGGGCATAATGCTATGCATATTAAACATCCCATTCCTATAATATTTTAAAATATATTATTTGGAAGGTACAGGTATGTGAAAGAAAACATTAATAGAAATTAAAACATTACCCTTCATCACAGTGTTTGCTTTTGCAAACGCTAATAAACTTATAGGGAGAAAATGTCATAATCTAAATGCGAAGGTACAACACACAACTTTTATCTGTCATTTTACACTGTAGATAATTTTAATGTATTTCCTGAGTAACAAATATTGATGTAAAGTTATATGTTACAATAGGATGCTAATTGGATTTAAAAGTTTAGAAATGATGCAATGATTCTTCTGGTATATATGTGAAAGCAGTACACTCACTAAAGTGCCTACATGGGGGGCTGGGGATTAGGGATATAAAAATCACTGGATCTCAAGTGTGGAAACTATAAATACAATTTAATTTCCTTAAAAATTGGATGCAGAAACAGACACTTTATTTTTCTCTGGAACAGAAACAAAAAAACATAAAAGCATCATTTGTCTCTGAGAGAAACCACAGCTAATATTAGTGATTCCAGGCCTGGTTAGGTCTTCACTGAGATGTTAAAAAATGACAGCTCCTTTCCTCACGTCTCGATTTCCTGCCCGTCTGACAACCAAGTCAGTTTGGCTGATTTAAACACAAACATTTATTGAATTTAATTATCTCATTATACTCATACCCACTCCCCACCCTCCAAGAAACATTCTAAATTGATCTCTAATTGGGCAATCAAAAGACCTGGCTTTAGATGTGACTTTGATAAACCTCCAAATGACACGTAATGGTATGTAGCCACCGCGGCAACGGTTTTTGCTTACCCATCATATCTTTTGTCTTCTTGAAATGTTTGTACCACCTTCCAAATTCTTGACATTTTGCTGCTGAGACATTTGCATAGTAAGTGCTGTTCACAATGGAAGAAATCATACTCTGCATGAAGAGGGGAGAAACATTTGTAATACATAGCGGCACAAGATGGAACACAGAAAAGATTTCAATTGTGGAAACTGTCTTTTTTTTTCTTTTAATTAACTGAGTACTAATACATTTTTGTTTCACACTTCAATCTAAAGCTTCGACTTCTTAAAATTCATTAAGTAGATCATCAAATGCTTCTTTAAGTCAAAAGCATCTGACCACTGAGACCAGTCTCAAGCTATCAAACCCACCGGCTTTGCTCTCGTATGTAAGGAACTTCCATCAGTGTCACCTATTCCTAGGCTGACAAACTTCCACTGATCCCAATAAATCCAATTACGTGAAGACGATTTTATGATTGCAATTCACAAGTAAAAGCTACTTTGAGGTTTAGGTACTCTACCATCCTTGCTACTCAAAGGATGGCCCAGGGACCAACAATATCGGCATCACCTGGCAGCTTCTTAGAAATCCGTAATCTTCAGCCCACCTCAGACCTACTCAATCAGCACCTGCATTTCACCAAGATCCCCGGGGTATTTGGGTTTGCATTAAAGTTTGAGAAACACCACTTGCACTTTCCACTCCTATTGTTTGGGTTTCAATTAGAGATGCATTAACTGCTTTAACACTGTTCAAAGGTTGGCTGACCACATTTAAGGTAAAAACAAACTATTCACAGAGATCCTCTACAGACCAACACACATTCTACAATCTTGTTGCTAGCTTCACCTACAGTAAAGGTTGAGTTTTGAATTTCGAACCATAAAATTTTTAAATATATACATTTCATGCTTACTAAATTTGTCAAAGATACCACAAAAAAAGGACCTATTTTGTCACCTGTCTTCATCTTGCTTTTAAACAGTCAACAGTTTAACATATAAAAATGAGGACAAAAATGACAATGATTTTCATGTATTACTAGGAATTTTTTTAAACTCATTTTCAACAAAGAAAGTGTTTTCTTCCTAGCAAATTTTGGTTACGGTAATTTCAGTGACTTAACTCACATTTATGTTTAAGCATAACACCCATATTCTCTAATAGCGGCTAAATTAATTTGCAACTGAGTCTTAGGAATAATTCGACTTTGGAGTTCCACTCCTATGTGTAGAAATATGAGACCTTACATTTCAGACTTTGGCTGGTCTATGGTGAAATAGTTTACAGAAGGCAGCACTGTTTGGGAGGCAGCGAACAACCAGAAAAGCCAGTTTGGGGACCAAAGTATTTTTATACATTTTCTTCTTTTAGCTACTTCTAGCTTAAGTCCCTTTTGGTTCTTACAGAGTCTCCTGACATCCGTTATCAGTGTTCATTTTGTAGTATGAATACATTCCCATAATATGTAAACCCTGGGGATCCTTGAAGAACTTCCAGTGAAGAATAAGCAAAAGTTGCATTATTTATGTAAAACATGGCTATCTTTCCTAAGGGCATTGTGGCATCTATTTTTTTTTCTGGCACTTTCTACTTTATAGTCCTTTTCCCACTTTATTTCTTTAAAAAGACATTCTTAATGGCTCATCATGCCCTGCCATTAATCCAGTAGCTTGCAATTTTACTAAGAGCCTTCCTCAGTCCAGAGTACAAAAAGATACTTAGCAAGGTTGCCAGAACCAAAGCCAGAAGATTACCTGATCCAGTTAACAATCTGTCAGCTTCCATCACCCTTACTCTATTGTAATAATGGATCAATAAAGTCAGACACTAATAAAACTATTGAGATTGCTGATGGATAACGGTGATTCTGAAAATGGATGACAGTTGATGTTCTTCCACTTTGGTCCAATTTTTAAAAAATTATTACTCTTATGCCTAGACATTCTGGCAGTTTCTTAAATGTTAATATAATAGTACATATAAATTTTAGATGTAGTTTATGTCTTAATTTTCTGAAATGTTTGGAATATGTGGATTTTGCTGAGGTTTCTGATACCCAGTCTACTTCAGTTTGCCAATAGTTCTACATATCATGTTTGCTCTTCGCTGCACACCTACTATGTGCCTCGTTGGTACTAGGGATACTAAGGCAGATAAGACAGAGTCTCTGCCTATAGGAAATTTACCATCTCTTAGAAAGACAAATATGTAAATAGATCATTTAAATTTAATGTGAATCAGTACACCAAATAAGAACAAAATATATGGGGAAGGGGAGAATCCACACACAGTATAGGAAACAAAAGTCTGAAGTATTTTCATGAAACTAAAGCCCATATGTAATAGTGCTATGTAGTTCATTATCATCCGTATGTGAAAAATAATATCCATATGGGCATGACCATCGAAGCTTCCCCCTGCCCTTGTCTAACCCTCAATTGGCAGGCTCTGTCCTTAAGTGACTTTCTGGATACTTTCTACTCTGTCCAGTGCTGTGCGCTAAGGGAACTCTGATTAATGTAAATACTAGCCTCAGCAAGGCATCAATAAAAAGGTTAACCCTACAGGTTATGATGCATACCAAAGCAACTTTTTAGATTATCTATCTTTCTGCGCTTTGGGGGGCCTGGCAAATATTTCATAATTCAGGTAACTTGGGGTCACTTCAATTTTATTGGAATAATATGCAATAAATTTCACACATCGCCACTGCAAGACGCTTTCTCTTTTTCCTCCTGTGATAAAATCCTTATTGAAATCTTAGGCATGGCACCTGACAGGACTAGTGAGTTTCAAGGGCAGGGAAGAGAGGTTTCAGGATCTTATGGGGCCTACGGCATTTGAAAAAATAATATTCTGTAATCTTAAAGTTGGAAAATCATAAAGAAACACCTATTGTTTTGATAGTACAAATAACACAAAGTCATGGTTGGTAATATTTTCCTTGGTGGCAGGGATGTACAGAAGGTAGACCAAGATCATGTTTTTAAGGACACAAGCTTGGGATTCTTATGTCAATCAAAAGGAGACCTTAATTTAAAAAGATTACACATGTCTGTGAGTTCATGCAGGTCTGGGTTCCATATAACTTTCCAGCCCAAACGCCTGGCATATATTAAATAAAGACTAAATGTTCATTTGATGAACAGGATCAACTAAATGTGCATTCACGTCTAAGATGTACCACATACTAGTTGTGTGACCCTGGTCAAACTGCCTATTCTATCACAACTCCTATCCTAAATGGCAATGATAGTAACATTCACCCCATGGGGTTATTCTGAAGAGTCTATTCATTCTGGCATTATTTTTTCACTCATTCAGGATATATTTATTGAACTCCTACTATGTGCCAAGCACTGGGCAAGTCACTAGAAAAATAATGACTTGATGAGACATACTATCTGCCTTTGGAAAAACAATAAATAAAACAATGAGTGTGATGCAATTTGCACAGTGCCTGGAACATACCATGTGTGGACTTAAGAGATGTTAATTACTATGACAACCCAACCCTCTGCCACCACCTCCTAATTGGGCTTTTTTTTTTATTGTATGATCACATTTTGGATCAGCTGTAAGTAACAGAAAAGTATCAGATAAAATTTTCAAATGATATATTTTAACTCAATACATTTTCTTATGAAGAATGAGGGGTGTACTAATTATTATTAAGTTACAAGTCAGGTCAAGTGGTAACAAGGGGAATACACCAAGGAAAAAGGAGTATTTCTATTTGTGGCAATCGTCCAATTGGATGGCTAGCTCCCAAAGTTGGCCTGTATTTGGTAGCTGACATCAAGAGGACATGCGTCACTTCCCTCACTTGGGTGACTGACCAGTGAGTGCCTTCTCCCGTCTCTAGCTAACAGCTGCTCATCTGAGGGTATATTTCAGGTCTCCCCACTTCTGCCTCCTGACGTCACAAACATCTCACACACAGCACCACTATGGCACTTGCCATGATGTTGCTTTTCCACTAGATGGTGAGCCTTGGGTCTTATCTCCAAATAGTGGGGACTCATGAAAGAGCTGGGCACACAGTAGGTGATCAGTAAAAGGGCACGAAAATAAGCCATTACTGAGGCTACCAAAAACCCTTTCTTGTTTTTTCCTTAAAGGTCAAAGGTAAATGGCAGCTTAATTGTCAAATGAATCTTTTAAATTCATCACTTGTTGTTGTCACAATAAAACTCATAGTTTAAAAAAACATCTATTTATTTGCAAGAGATCCCTTCCCAGGTTTTACAAAATGCATCCACATGGACATTTCAGAAGTCGCAGGGCTCAGTAGTTCTGTCATTCCTGTTCTCTTGTTGGTGCCTGTTCACAGGAGCTCTCCAAAGCCATTTGAGAAAGACACAACTGGTATCACAAGTTTTCCTACTCAGTGGCCCGTCTGTGTAAAACATCAATGTTCAGGGAATAAAGTAATCAGGCTGACAAAACTCAGTCGGTTTAAATCCCAAGTTCAAAATGCTATACACAAAACCAACCAATGAATAGGCCACAGCTCCCAGCCCAGGGAAATAGAATTGGAAAGTTGGCAGAAATTGGCTGTGGGTCCCATAACCCCAGTGTGACACGATACTCTCATCATAGGAGCCAAGTTGTAAGCTTTTCTAAGATCCATAAAGCACATGTCTACTCCCTATGAGGAGCTTTGGTTCTTTCTGGGAGTCTGCTGAAGTTCCGATCTGAAAGAATGCCATCTTCACAGAAACCCCGGCACTCTAGAATGATACCATCTGCCACAAGCTGAGCTTCCTTTTCAGCCAAATACATTATTTATAACCTTTCTAATTGTGAAAAGGTAAGGGTGGAAATTTTCTAAAGACTGACTTAGATATAGTTAGAACATTCTGAACCTTTGCTCTAAAATACTGCAGGTCTCTAAATTTGAAAAACAAAAAACAAAACAAAAAAACAGAAGGCATCGGTGGAGGTTACATAATTTTTCAAAATGTTATATCCTTTCAAACCTCTGCTAGAACAGGACATACACTGTAGGTATATATTTATAACAGATTCAGAAACTAAAGGAAGATGGTTTTATTTTTCTCCCTGGTCATCTTAGTGGCCAGTTGAAGAGGTTTGGAGGTGAGGCCATCTGAAAAAAGAGGTTC